GAGCTTGCACTGTATACGATACCCGAGGTTTGTGCGCCAGCGTGGGTTGTTGGTTGGAGGCATTACTCAGCGGGCAGCCAGCACTGAGAAGGGTTACAGGTGCAACTTGCGACCACTGCACCCGGGACAATGCGATCTTCCAAAAGTTATTTTCAAACCTGGGGGCGCCCCAAGCAATAGGTTGCACATGCGAGGTTTAAAATGCCTGGGTGCTAGGAGTCAAATACGTGCTCTTGCTAGCGAGCGCAGCAGTGGCTGCTGAACGTAAATATCTTGTGCGATATTAACTTGTGAGAATGAGGCACTGCACACGGTGAACTCAATCCATCATCTGTGGCCTTGCATATAAAATTAGGAAACGGTTTGTTGGCCATCAACGGTGGTTGCGCTGTGAAGACTGGTCGCACCCAGAGAATGTGCAACTGCCATTGGCACGTGGCTGCCAAAATGGGATGACCACTGATGACCACTGCTCCACGCTCATTTATGCAAGCCAATGCTTGATGACACTTTTACGAAGTTTAAGAGGACGTGGCATTAAGGTGGTTGAGCGGCTTAGTCGTTGGTCTCGGCCCAGTCAGAATGACTGCACGAAAAACATTCCAATGCGTTTTTTTGTTGCCACATTTGGAAAGCGAAAACGTCGCTTTGACTGCCATGCGACGAATGTTTATCTGCGAAAGGGAACGTGGCAAAGTATGCCCCCCCATAGTGTCTGGATAACAGGTGACTTGAAGGGTAAGACGTCGGCACTGATACTGAGTGGAGCACTGCTTTGCCAAAGTTTCGGATAGGCGCTCCATCTCAGGCCGTTAGCAAAATTGGAATACAGTAGTATGAGGGAGTGGAACTGTAGTTAGAACCACTTGACGATTCACAACTATAAGTTTGGAAGTTTAAATCTCAATGTGGCTATGCTTAACTCAACATGTTTCTAGTATGGCTAAAATAACTTGACCAATTTTGTGGGATGTCAACAGAATTTCTTGTGCGGAATAACAAATCCACGCCATAGGAATGTGGAATTTACCACTGATTGGAAATGAGCACCGAGCAAGGCTCATTTGAGCTGGGAGCCACGCTCTTCTTTCTTTCTGGCAAGCAAAAGTTACGAGGGCTGGGTGCAGGCCAGCTACGGCGAATTGGCATGGTCAGGGCATTTCATAAGAGGACATGTGCGCCGAGTTACACGTCAGTGGGCTTCTCGCACCCACATAAAAGGTGCCCCACGAGCCAGCCAACCAGCGATGCCACCAACAAAGTGACTTTGGACACATCAGCCCCAAAGTGTCTCACAGCACCACAGCGCGTGAGTTATCGATTCCTTGGGCCCCTTTTAAAACAATCGTGGTCACCACAACTTGCCTCCCCCTCCACCAAAGACGGGAACCCCCCTACAAGCCATGCCCAGCGTGATGATGCCAATGTCACCAAGCTTTAAACCATCACCTAGCGTCCAGCGGCACACGTGGGAACACAGGCAGGACTTTATTTTCCAACAATTTTTATATTATCCAATAATCGGTCATCTGGATATAGCCCACCTCTACGAAGCTAAAAAGCGCCAGGCTTGCTGCGTGGACACTTTTGGATTTTGCTGCATGGACCTTAACATTTACAAGACAGAGCAACCCCAAGGTCTACTGTTCTCCATGCTCAAAGTAAACCAATCGAACTTCTAAAAAATACTACTTTAGCTTTGAATCATGCATGTTCCTAAGTGCCAGAGCCTCAGAAGAAAGAAGTTCAACAATAGATAAACTGAGACCTGATGAGGGTGCAGTTGGTGGATGGGTCAAACTATCCAGGTGCACTGGCAGAGCCAGTGAGGGAGGTGGGGTGGCACATCCCCTCCAATGATCCAATCGAAATCCCCAATTTCAATCGGATCATTGCTGTTTATTAATAATAAATCAGCATTTTGCGACCCCCACTGCCACTGTGTAGCATATTATTACGTGCCAGGGACTCTATGAGATGATAGGACAATAGTCCGAGTCCATAATTGGCAAAAAGTAACGGCAAAGCAGTTATAAGTGACTCGCATAATTGTGCGCAGTTGCGTATACAGGGCACGACTTCCCTGAAGGCAAAGACCTTCAGCGAGCGCGATGCCGATCACACACGGTTCGAATTCGACCCTCAATCGATGGCTGTGCCATCGCCACACGCGTTGAATAAAAAAGCAAGGGACAAGTCCTTACTTACTAACAACTCCTCTATAATTTTTCATTGCTGGAGGGGTTGCCCCCCTTACCTGAAAATCCTGGCTCCGCCATTGTCCCGGTGTATTTAAGTGTTGTGCCCGTGCACAATCTGATGCCGTCACTTGCGATTCCACAATTGCTCAGAAGTGACCAGGGGAGTGAGTCCCGAATCAGCGTTAGATTTGAGCTTGCTTGCTGCGTATGGTAGTACGCCTAAAATTACATTTGAAAGAATACTGGCAAGAGCTTGTCAAGCTAAGTTACTGTCAGCGCAACTGCACACCGCCACTCTTCCCAAGGCAGAACTGGACTTTAAAAAAAGTTCAAGGCTGTTGGGCTCTAAGCAAGACATAGGTCAGACTGTAATCAACAACGGCTCAAGTGCAGAATTGGCACTTACTGAAACGAGAATACAGCTGTTGCTACGGCACTGAAAGTGCTTAACTCAAAACACTCCTCAATGACACTCTGGCCTTAAAATTGAACGTATATGAGAGGCGACGTTTCGGACAATGGCCCTTCTTCACAGCACATTAGGGTTGTTTACGTGATTTTTTTCATTCCACATTTTAAAGAGGCCAGAGGTGAACCAATACATCTGACCTGTGTGCTATGTAGAAGGGTCATTGCGCATAACGTCGCCAAGTATATACTTTTTTTCTTTTCAGGCAGTGTTAAAAATGTTAAGCAGTGACTACACAAGTAGTTTCACACGCATACATGTTTACACGCGTGTTCACACACACACAGAGTGGGCTTGCTGTTGGCCACAATGGGTGTAGAACGGAACACGGAGAAAACGGTACGAGGGAGATTAAGAGTGGAGTGGGTGGTTAGTTTACATCCTAAAGTTGCTTGGTGCCTTTAACCACAAAACACTCCCAATCCACACCACACACACGTGTCACTTCCTGCAAGCAGGGCAACGGTTTGCGCATGCGCGGCCCGCACTCATTACCATAATTTAGCATAAATTAACAAATATTAGCATAATGATGTGGGAGATGGCCGCTAGGTGGACCTGGAAATGGCGGAGGGCCTGAGAAAATGTGGTTAGGAGGAAGTGAAAATAATGTTACTACATAAATAAAGTATTCTTTATAAAAGCAAATAGTTAAACCCAGCGAGATTAAAGGCCACTAAAATAAGACATGTAAGACTGAAAACACACATGCACGAATGTGATCGCTATTGTCGGTTAAGGACATTGATTAAATAAAAACAGCCACGCTAGAACATAGCAAAGCCAAAATCAACAAAAGTATAAAATTGATTATATAGAACGATTAACCTATCCTTACCACCAAATGACAATACAAAACTAATCTTAAGAGAAATATGTAAAAGATAAGTAAAACAAAGAATAAGACTAACGCCGCGGTGTGTACCGTGTTAAAGTGCACTTGTGTATGAGCATTCGTGATTCTGATGGAGCTAAATGATGTTAAGTGGTGGCTCTTGTGATAGTAGTGTTATAAGTTGATGCCAGTAAACGTAGCGGTAATTATGATGGTGCATACGGCAGCAGTAATTAAGTGAGTTCTGCTATTTAGTGGTTACCGTAATCATGATAGTACATTAGACGATGTAACGGGAGTGAATCTAGCGGCTGATGGTATAAGTGACGATAATTAGCGACATTATTAGGTGAGTTGGTGGTGGTTTCAAGATGACAGTGATCGTACAGCAACGTAGCAGAAGTGATAAGTGTCAATTACGTTGGTAGTGATGGTTAGTGATGAGTAATGATAGTTCAAGTAGCCAAGTGAATTATTGAAATGACAAGTGATGGATATATGGTCGTAGTTATTGTAGTGTCTGTGATGCTATTAACTAAAATAGCCGTAGTAGTGTCGATGTACCAGTGATGTTTATACCAAAGACGAGGCTCGTGATAGAAGATTATAGAATCGACGGTTATGGAGGTAGCAACGGTGGCTTTAGGGATTATAGTCCCGATGTTATATTCGTGATGACGATACATTTAGTGATGGTTATAAGTTATATTCGCAATGTTAATGGTTATAGTATTAATTATGGTTATCGTATTGGTAGCATTAGTCGCAGTGATGTGGTAATAGTAGCAATGATGTTTTAAGTCGTGACTTATTAGTAACGGTGATAGTGATTATGGTTATAGTATGAGTGATAGTACTGTAGTGATTTTAGCAGTAATGGGTATATTAGTTGTGGTTTTAGCGATAGTTATTACAGTAATATTGTAGATAGTTATTGTAGCAGTAGTGATAATAGTGATTATAGTGTGGTTATAAAATTTTAAATTATAAAAAAAATAACTTTAAATTAGTAATGGTATTACCGTTGTGGTTGTATTATAACGATGTCGGCACCACTGGCGGGCGATGCCGACGATAGTATTATTATTAGTGATTATGATAGTCGCACATTATTACCGAATGCTACAATAGCAGCAGTCGTTAGCAACACGCGTACAGTGCGATACGGCTGCCGTGGCAGTGACGAGTGGCGCTGCTACCGATACTTATCACAATGCTGCTGCTGTTGGTGCCGACGAGGACCGTGACGATGGCGTTATGTTTAACGAGTTCGCATCAAGAGTATTTATGACAAGAGAGTAAAACGCAGTAAGGCAAATGGTTATACAGTAATGGCGGCGGAAGACGATGAAACGATGGCGGCGCTGTTGCCACCGATACTTATAACAAAGACGCTGTTGCCGCCGCCGGTGTTGCTGCTGATGATGTTGCTGATGAGAATAGAAGTGGTGGAAGTGGTGGTGGTTGTGAAGAGGGGAGTGCGATTTTACTCGACCTTTCGTCCCCCGCACACCCTGGGGCGCTACGGGCGGCACGGGTAGTGGCAACTGCTGGGGACGGGGATCTAGACAATAGGCTTTCAAGAGCCATCCCTTCCGTTGGTTGCAGCCGAGCACTTTAACGATTCGGGTTCTTTTGTTGGTGGTGGTTGTTGGTGATGTTTAGCAGTAGTAGGAGTAGTAGATGTTGCTGTTGTTGGTCCGTGGAAACATCGGCGCGCGAGATGCGGAGCGGGCCCGGGCGACGCTGCCGGGGCTCTGTCCTCGTAAAATGGCGGCCGCGTCTGCGCACGAAGCACGCCGAGGCAGGGGCTCATTAGCATAATTTATGCAGAAGCGCCTCATGAATATTCATGAGGTGGGCGGGGCGATGGGGGCGTGTTGCTTCCCCGGTGAAATGCTTGAGTGGCATCACGTGACTCGTCGATAATAATTTATGCATGTAACGCACCGGCATGACGTCACGCGAGGTTTCGGGCTGAGGGGGGTTGATGACGTCACGAGCCCATGCTGTTTACACGCACGAGCTTTGCTCACTCTGAAATGCTCATCATCAGCAGTGGCATTTAGATGCTTGCCCCCCTCTGTCTTCTCCGCCTGATGAAGACCGCTTGTGTGTTGCGATCGAAACGTCGTGGTGTTTTGCTTTTAATTTATTTTTTATTTGTATTTCCTATCTCCGTGACTTTACCGAAAGAACCATGAATATGAATTATTGCAGTCACGAAAGTTTTACGTAAAAATGTAGGTGTCGGGAAGAGGAGAAAGACGTGACCCCACATTGGGGTAAGGAGAGGGGTCATGACGTCACGCTGCACGGGTGAGGTGGAGGCAAGGGAGTAGTGACGTCACGAGACGCGGGAGTGATGAGGACAAGGCATTGATGACGTTACGCGGGATTTGGGTGAGGCAGGGAGAAGGGGTGATGACGTCTAGAGACGCTGGGGAGGTTATGAGAGAAGTAATGACGTCACTAAAGATTGGGGCGAGCAACCCGTGAGTGACGTCACGGAAAACGGAGGAAGCAAATAGGTGGCCGATGGCGTCACGGGACACGTGATGACGTCACGAAACACGGCGCCAATCGGCGCGATGACGTCATGAAACTCCAGCAGCTTCGCGGGTGGCTGCGTTTATAAATTAATAACAACACGAGACTCTACGCACTTTTTACCTCATGCCCGTTGCTTTGGTCTTTCTCTACTTTTCCCCCTAATTAGATAATTAGTATGCGTCATAGTAACTGGTTCAGCATAAACTATCAGAATCATGATCTTTATATATACTGCAGGAGGAATTCGATTAGCTGTGTGCCTTAAGGGCCGTCCATAAATGACGTCACGCGATTTGAAGATTTTTGACCCCCCCCCTCGTCACACGGCGTCACAAAAAGTCAGACCCCACCCCCTCAAATGACGTCACAAAGCTCTGCCCCCCCCCCCAAACCATATTTCTATTTTGAAAATAAAAAATGCTTTAGGTCGCTTTAAACTATTGTCATTATAGTGCTTATTTAATGTGGCGCTGCACTCTGATGTTGTAGGAGTGTTGTTATAACAATTAGTGTTGTTATAACAATTCTATGTTTGTTTAAAGTTGCGCATTTTGACGTGACGTCACATTTCTCACCCTCCCCCCTCGTCAAACATCGTCACAAATGTCTGACCCCCCCCCTCCCCTAGGTGCGTGACGTCATTTATGGACGGCCCCTTACAGCAAACAATGCAAAAACACGATAGGAGTGCAAAGTATAGCAAATCTAAACAAATCACACAAATATAGAAATCATTAAAACTAAGTTATTTTTATTTATTTACTCACTAATAGCCTCTGTTTCAGAAGCGACCTGGCCACTAACAATAGCTCAGCGAAGTGGCTTAACATCATGTGGACATTTATAGCAGCAAAATAACCTAAATAATCTAAGCGCGAGTTTCTAAATGTGGAGGGAAAAACCCGGAGGACCCTGATAAAGAGAGACACCGCAGAACCCAGAATATACAGCAGCAGGCATCGTCAGGGTCGGTATGGAACCCACGACCTCCTGTACACCAGGCGAGGTAGTTAACATCTCCTTGTCACCGTGATGATGATGATGAGAGAGACACACAGACTCCAAATATACAGCAGCAGGCGTCAGAGTTGAGGTCGAACCCACGACCTCCTGCATACAAGGCGAGGTAGTTAACATCAAGAACAGCACTTGCTCCAAAAGTATGTTAAGACTATACAAGGGATCTTTGTCTTTGTAGTAATATTGATGAGAATAGAGCCCCCCTTGGTCAGTGTTTGTCAATAACTTTCAGAGGGGGGGGGGGGGGGGGGCAGTTTCGACGCTGAGACATCATCATTGCGCACAGCCGTAAACCCACATGGCTTGTCCCGTATTCTTGCACAGGAAATTTGAGTTTTCAGGTCCATACGGCGTGCAGCCGTTTCAATAATGGGCAATACATTTTTGTCTATTTGTTTGTTTCTCCCTTGCAAGGCCGTAGCCATGGAGTCAACATTGGGGGGGACCAAATCTTCCAGGGTGTTTGGGGGTCCCAACCCAGAAATTTGAAAACTAAATGTGAAAACTAATTCCTGCCTAAAATATTGAAAAATTCACTAACACATGGGATGGACTTTTCATTTTTTTTACAATAATGTCTAATAGTGTATTGTATTCTAGATTTGAAGCTTTCGTGACTGCAAGAATTTATACTCTTGGGTTTTTTTCGGTAAAGTCACGTAGGTGAAAATAAATAATAAAAATAATAGAAATAATAGAAATAAAATAATAAATCACGACGTTTCGGAGGCAACACAAGTCTCCATCATCAGGTGGGACCGTCACAGCTAAATTTACTGTATCAAGTGAGGCCTCAAGTGAGGCCTTATTTCTATTATTTTATTTATTTATTTTCACCTACGTGACTTTACCGAAGAAACCTAAGAGTAGTGTATTGTATTTACATTGCTCTGTTTTAACTTTTTGAACATTTCTTGTTTCATTGTATGTAATGGCAGAGATTAGGGATTAATCAAGTTACAACCAAGGTAGAGGTTTGCAGGTTTGTAGTGTGTGAGGACGGCCACACATTTGAAACCAATGGGGGTTTGGGAGCCGTCCATAAATGACGTCACGCGATTTTGAACGATTTTTGACCCCCCCCCCCCGTCACACGGCGTCACTAAAAGTCAGACCCCCCCCCCCTCAAATTTGACGTCACAAATCTCTGCCCCCCTCCAAATAAAACATGCTTCAAATCGCTTTAAACTATTGTCATTGTCGTGCGTATTTAATGTGGCGCTGCACTCTGATGTTGTAGGAGAAAACATTTATATATAAAAAGTATATTTAATTAAGTGGAACGTGTTGTTATTATTTATTTAAAGTTGCGCATTTTGATGTGACGTTTCGCTGGCGAATTGCCCGATGATGCTGGATGCAATTACCAGCGAAACGTCGTACTCAAATTGTAAATGTTGTGGCTTCAACACACCGGTGGGCTAAAGCAGTGAACTATTTGTCTTTTGTCAACGTGACACTTTTTTACTGATTGGCCGTGTCGGGTGGTGGAGGGTTACGACACATTTATAAATAACGCGATCTAAACCCAAAAACGTTGATTATGAATCACATTGGTCGCGAAAGCCTCACACGTGTTAAACCGTTATGTTTTTGTTTGCATTATGGCTGCATGTATTGTGGTCTATGCAAACATGACTCCTTGTAAAAAAGGTGTTAGTTTTGTTGCCAGAGAAAAGGGTAAAAAAACGATTATCACATTTTTTACTGGCAAATGAGGTTCCAAAGGTGTCTGATCAAATGTTGTGTCTATTTTCGAGGGATCGCACTCAAAGACGACCACCAGGGGACGCCGGTGTCCCGTGCACGTGGGAAGGACGAGACTCACCTGCAGCCTCGGCGAAGCGGGCAGAGGATGAGTCCGCGACTCCACGGGGTGGCGCTCCCGGCTCACGCGTCGCTCCGTGGCAGCACACGTGTAGTAGCAGCTACACGTGTAGTAGCAGCTACTACACGTGTAGCTACTACTTGTGTAGCTACTACTACACATGCGGTAGTAGTAGCTACTACTACACGTGTTGTAGCAGCTACTACACGTGGAGTAGTAGAGTAGTAGCTACTACTTGTGTAGCTACTACACATGGAGTAGTAGTAGCTACTATTACACGTGTAGTAACAGCTACTACACATGGAGTAGTAGCTACTACTACTACACATGGAGTAGTAGCTGCTACTACACGTGTAGTAGCTACACGTGTAGCAGTAGCTACTACACGTGTAGTAGCAGCTACACGTGTAGTAGCAGCTACTACACATGGAGTAGTAGCTACTACTACTACTACTACACGTGTAGTAGCAGCTACTACACATGGAGTAGTAGCTACTACTACTACTACACGTGTAGTAGCAGCTACTACACATGGAGTAGTAGCTACTACTACTACACGTGTAGTAGCAGCTACTACACATGGAGTAGTAGCTGCTACTACACGTGTTAGTAGCTGCACATGTGTAGTAGCTACTACACATGTGTAGCTACTACTACTTGTGTAGTAGTACACGTGTTAGTAGCTGCTACACGTGTTAGTAGCTGCTACACGTGCTAGTAGCTACACGTGTAGTAGCTACTACACGTGTAGCTACTACACGTGTAGTAGCTGTACATGTGGTAGCTATTACACGTGTGTCGTAGTGTAGCTACACATGTAGTAGCTACGGGGGGCAACGCAATTTCAAGGAACCCCGCGCTAAATGCTTTCAAGCAATCAATTCCGGTTTAGTGATTCTGCACTTGCTCCATTACTATAGTACTATACCGCCTTCGACTTTTACGAACGACTGGGTGTTTAACGTTAGCGATTTGTCGTATTATCTGGGCTGTATAGCAAATGAAAAAACTACAATTACTTTACTATGCAAGTTAAAAATGTAAATCTAGACCGCTTGTGTTGCGATCGAAACGTCGTGGGGTTTTTTTGCTTTTAATTTAGATTTTAGTTTTCTATCTACGTGACTTTACCGAAAGAACCAAGACTATATTATAAAATGTATGTGTTTTAATATATTTTTTTATGTAGGGCCCCTTCATAACATCTGCTACAGGTCCCGCACTCGCTTCATCCGGCCCTGGTTGTCCGCAGACACGCGTGTTGGTGACCTGCGTGTCTGTACGTGCTGAACTTCTTTCGCACCGTGCGTAGACAACGGGGCGTGACGAGTGCAAGGGTGGGGGGGGGGGGTTTGCACGTCTTCTTGGCAAACCAGCTATCGGAGCGAGGATCTGAATATTTGTTTAAACCGCAGGAGGAATCCGATGAGCTATGAAGCATTTTTTTCATAGGTGTCTAAGTAGTGGCGGGTCAGAACATCATAACATCAAGCAATGGAAAAAATAGTGGTGCAAAGTAAGCAAAGGTAAACAGATCACTTAAAATATATAGATATAATAACAAAAATTATTACTAGGTAAAGCCCACTGAGTTATAAACTTATTTTTCAGAAGCAGAATCAGAATATGTATTTTTACTGGAGGAAGCCGGAAAGCTATAAAGTTCTTTTTCGCAGATGTCCAGTAAAAGCGACATGACCACAAATGATATCCCAACAAAGTGGCTCGTCGCGTGGAAATGTAGAGCAGCCAAACACTCTAAACGCGTGATGTTGATTCTAAATGTGGAGGGGGAAAAACCGGAGGACCCGGAGAAAAAAAATCCACGCGACCATCGGGAGAACACGCTAACTCCAAATATACAGCTGCAGGTGTCAGGGTTCGGATCGAACCCCCGGCTTTCTGTATACCTGGCGAGGTAGATAACATCACACCAGGATCTCGCCACCCGAGATCACCAGGAAGAACGCCGTTTTGGTGAACAGAGTGGAACCACGCGGACGTACAGAACAAACGCCTCCTCCATTTTTCGATTTAAAGCTTTCGTGACTGCAGGGATTCATCTTCTTGGTTCTTTCGGTAAAGTCACGTAGAAGGGAAGTAATAAAATAATAATATTATGTTTTATTTTTATTATTTTATTACTTCCCTTCTATGTGACTTTACCGAAAGAACCAAAAAAAAACGCCTCCTCCGTTCGAGACCCAAGCATCATCGCATCTCCTCCTGGCTTCGGCGTTCATCCTCGAAGACGCTGCCGCTGTGACCATCAGGACATCATCAGCAGGTCGAGGCGCACATCCCCTTCAGGCATTGAACATTAAAGACACCACCACATCCACAGGAGTGCGATTGTGGCCACGCAAACCACAACTACGGACCGCACGGCGAAACCCTCTGTGGTCTGCGCTCATTCAACCGAGGAAGAGGAGGAGTAGGAACAGCAGCACCACACGGACTCTCTCTGTCTGAATTTAGATTTAAAGCTTTCGTGACTGCAGGGATTCATCTTTTTGGTTCTTTCGGTAAAGTCACGTAGAAGGGAAATAATAAAATAATAAAAATAAAACATAATAAAATAATTCTCACGACGTTTTGGCCACAACGCAAGCAGCCTTCCTCAGATGAAGACCAGGTCTGTCGGGAGACAGCGTCAGACACAGCGTCAGACGCTGTCTCCCCGACAGACCTGGTCTTCACCTGAGGACGGCTGCTTGCGTTGTGGCCGAAACGTCGTGAGAATTATTTTATAATTTTTTATTTTATTATTTTATTATTTCTCTCTGTCTGCTGAAGCCATCTCGTCGTGGCCAGCTGCAGACCTCGACATTGGCTGCTGCCATCATACGCGACGATAGAATAATAGCGGCAGTGACGCTCACTCCCGTCCATATAGTAAGTAGTAAGTATGTTGAGTCTCTTTCGCACCGTACGTAACCAACCGTGGCTCATCGGAGGTGTGGGGGAAGGACAAGAAGCTATACTCAATAGTTTTTTTCGGTAAAGTCACGTATGTAGAAATACAAAAAAAATACTAATTTTTTTAAAATAAAATAAAATTTTAGTTACATTTCATTTTATTTTTACATTCGTGACTTTATCGAAAAAAACAATGAGTACAGTCATTTTTGCAGCCACGAAAGCTTCAATCCTATGACAACAAGCTCGACACACAAAGGCGGTCCTGTGCAGTGAACGGTGGTGCAGTGATTAGCGCACCGCTTTACCAGCTCCGCGTGCTGAATCGTCGCCATACGAGACACTGGGATTCACTCACAAAAGGCTGGTGGATGAATACAATTACTTACATATTCATTTTGTATGGAGAGACGATATATTTCAAGACGTCGTATTGTCGATCTGTTTCACTATTTATCAGCGGTGAATCCGGGCCACGGCTCATACATCAGTGGCGATTGCCATCTGCAGTGAACGAGACGCTGTAAGGGTGGCTGTGTGTCTGTGGCTGTGGGGGAGCGGTGGTGTAGTGGTTAGTGCAGCGCGCTACAAAACCCGCGACCCGAGTTCGATTCCCGCTCACGGCCGACGCCAGTAACGATACTTTTGAACCGGTCCTGGGTCTCCCCTAGGTCGACTCAGCCTCAAGTGAGTGCCTAGTGCGGTGTGTAGACATCGCCACTGGGGAGACAAAGGCGACCGGGCGTGGTGCTGGCCACCCACCTTCTTCGTGTGACGTACCGACCTTAATAGGTGCTCGCTAACAGCACTTATTGTGCTTGTGTGTGTGTTAGTTTGTGGTCCTTCTACCGCAGGGTTGGCTACGTGCGGTGCAAAAGAAGTTCCACATACACACATGCTTGCCACAAAAGTATTTTAAGGCTATACAGGGGATATTGGTCTCTGTATGTTTATATTATGTGTGTGTATTGTGAGTGTGTGTGTTCTGTACGTATGTGTATGGTGAGTGTGTGTGTGTGCTGTACGTTATGGTGAGTGTGTGTGTGTGTGCTGTACGTATGCGTTTGGTGAGTGAGTGTGTGTGCTGTACGTATGTGTATGGTGAGTGTGTGTGTGCTGTATGTACGTTATGGTGAGTGTGTGTGGGTGCTGTACGTATGTGTATGGTGAGTGTGTGTGTCCTGTATGTACGTTATGGTGAGTGTGTGGGTGCTGGACGTATGTGTATGGTGAGTGTGTGTGGGTCCTGTACGTATGTGTATGGTGAGTGTGTGTGTTGTACGTTATGGTGAGTGTGTGTGTGTATGGTGTGTGTGTGTGTGTGCTGTACGTTATGGTGAGTGTGTGGGTGCTGTACGTATGTGTATGGTGAGTGAGTGTGTGTGCTGTATGTATGTGTATGGTGAGTGAGGGTGTGTGTTGCCGTGCTGTGATGGTTCGCACTTGCAATCCAGAGGGGCTGAAGGCTCGATTCGATTTCCCGGCGCGGCAATTTAGATCAAGGCCAAGTCTCCGAAACTCGCCGCCGATTGTGTCCACCCAGTAGTGTGGATACTCGCACCTCTTGAAAGAGTAGGCCAAATACCCCTCTATTAGGGGGGCTCTCCAGAGCTACCTCTAGCGGAGGCCATTCCGCCAGCTGTGATGCAAGAAAGCAATTTCAGGGCTACGCTTTTGTAGCTCCCAGATTGAGCGTTTGGGATGTTGTGGGGAGTGGTGGCGCAGTCGTTAACGCACTGCGCTAACGAGTTCGATCACCGCTCTTCGGTGAACAATTATCTGAAACTGGTCCCGGGCCTCTCCTAGGTCAACTCGGACTCAAATAAGGGAGACAAAGGCGGTCGGGCGTGGTGCTGCTGCGATCACCCCTTTGGTGCGTCGCGTTGACCTTCAGAGGTGTACTTTCCCCAAGTGCCCGTTGAAGCTACACGGGGGATCTTTGTCTGGTGTAGTACGTGCGTGTGCGTGCGTGTTGCGTGTGTGTGTGTGTGTCTGAGAAGGGCTGTCTCTGATTGGCTGCCACGGCGAGGACTTGTCCTGAAACGCGCCGAGTCGGAGCCCCAGAGCGGAGCGAGAGACGCGTGGGCAGGGCAGCGCAGCAGAACCGGTGAGCTCACTCACCCCCACACTCACCCCCACACTCACCCATACACTCACCCCTACACTCACTCACCCCTACACTCACCCATACACTCACCCATACACTCACCCATACACTCACTCACCCCCACACTCACCCATACACTCACCCATACACTCACCCATACACTCACCCATACACTCACCCATACACTCACTCACCCCTACACTCACCCATACACTCACCCATACATTCACCCATACCCTCACCCATACACTCACCCCTACACTCACTCACCCCTACACTCACCCATACACTCACCCATACACTCACCCATACACTCACCCCTACACTCACTCGCCCCTACACTCACCCATACACTCACCGCTACACTCACTCACCCCTACACTCACCCCTACACTCACCCCTACACTCACCCATACACTCACCCATACACTCACCCATACACTCACCCCTACACTCACCCATACACTCACCCATACACTCACCCATACACTCACCCCGACACTCACTCACCCCTACACTCACCCATACACTCACCCATACACTCACCCATACACTCACCCCCACACTCACCCATACAATCACCCCTACACTCACCCCTACACTCACCCATACACTCACCCATACACTCACCCATACACTCACTCACCCCCACACTCACCCATACACTCACCCATACACTCACCCCTACACTCACCCATACACTCACCCCTACACTCACCCATACACTCACCCATACACTCACCCATACACTCACCCCGACACTCACTCACCCCTACACTCACCCATACACTCACCCATACACTCACCCATACACTCACCCCACACTCACCCATACAATCACCCCTACACTCACCCCTACACTCACCCATACACTCACCCCTACACTCACCCATACACTCATTCACCTATACATTCACTCACCCCTACACTCACCCATACACTCACCCATACACTCACCCATACACTCACCCCTACACTCACTCACCCCTACACTCACCCATACACTCACCCATACACTCACCCATACACTCACCCCTACACTCACTCACCCCTACACTCACCCATACACTCACCCCTACACTCACTCACCCCTACACTCACCCATACACTCGCCCATACACTCACCCCTACACTCACCCCTACACTCACCCCTAGACTCACCCATACACTCACCCCTACACTCACCCATACACTCATTCACCTATACATTCACTCACCCATACACTCACCCATACACTCACCCATACACTCACCCCTACACTCACTCACCCCTACACTCACCCATACACTCACCCCTACACTCACCCATACACTCACTTCTACACTCACCCATACACTCATTCACCTATACATTCACTCACCCATACACTCAACCATACACTCACCCCTACACTCACTCACCCCTACACTCACCCATACACTCACCCATACACTCACCCATATACTCACCCCTACACTCACCCCTACACTCACCCATACACTCACCCCTACACTCACCCATACACTCATTCACCTATACACTCACTCACCCATACTCTCACCCATACACTCACCCATACACTCACCCCTACACTCACTCACCCCTACATTCACCCATACGCTCACCCATACACTCACCCCTACACTCACTCACCCCTACACTCACTCACCCCTACACTCACCCCTACACGCACCCCTACACTCACCCCTACACTCACCCCTACACTCACCCATACACTCACCCCTACACTCACCCATACACTCATTCACCTATACATTCACTCACCCCTACACTCACCCATACACTCACCCATACACTCACCCCTACACTCACTCATCCCTACACTCACCCATACACTCACCCCTACACTCACTCACCCCTACACTCACCCCTACACTCACCCATACACTCACCCCTACACTCACCCCTACACTCACCCCTACACTCACCCATACACTCACCCCTACACTCACCCATACACTCATTCACCTATACATTCACTCACCCCTACACTCACCCCTACACTCACCCCTACACTCACCCATACACTCACCCCTACACTCACCTATACACTCACTCACCTATACACTCACTCATACACTCACTCACCTATACACTCACTCCTACACTCACTCATCTGCGCACTCACCCATACACTCACTCCTACACTCACTCACCCATACACTCACTCCTACACTCACTCACCTATACACTCACTCATACACTCACTCACCTGCACGCTCACCCGTACACTCACTTCTACACGAATACACTCCTACACTCCAACATTCATACTCACTCCTACACTCCGATATGCATACACCCTTATACTCACTCACACACGTACTCACTCCTAAACTCATACATTCCAACATTCATACACCCGTACACTCACACACGCACTCACTCATACACTCACTAACCTATACACCCACTCACTTATACACTCACTCAACTATACACTCACTCAACTATACACTAACCCATGCACTTACTCATATATACATACATTCACTTAAGCACTCACTGATATACTTAATCACGTATACACTCACCTACCTAATCACCCATACATTCACTCACATTTACACTCAATCACCCATATACTTAATCGTATACTCACCCAAAGACAAAGATCCCCGGTGTAGCCTTTACGTACTTTTGGGGCAAGTGCACCAATGAAGGCCGGCACATTCACACAAGGGGGTGGGGTGGCCAGCACCCATACACACACTCACCTACCCACTCATCTACCTACTCACCTACACACTCACCTACACACTCACCTACCCACTCACCTACACACTCACCTACACACTCACCTACCCACTCACCTACCCACTCACCTACACACTCACCTACACACTCACCTACACACTCACCTACACACTCACCTACCCACTCACCTACACACTCACCTACACACTCACCTACACACTCATCTACACACTCACCTACCCACTCACCTACCCACTCATCTACCCACTCACCTACTCACTCACCTACCCACTCACCTACACACTCACCTACCCACTCACCTACACACTCACCTACCCACTCACCGGCTAATTGGGGGAAGTTTTGTTTACGAGCACCCGTGAGAACCGGGACGGCCAGAAGCACGCCCTGCCGCCTTCGTCTCCCCAGCTGTGATGCTTACACACCTTACTAGCTACTCATTTGAGGCTGGGTCGACCTAGGGGAGGCCCATGTATTTGTCACCGATGTTGGCCGTGAGCGGGAATCGAACGCCGCGGTGGCTATGAGATGTTAACTACCTCGCCTGGTACGCAGGAGGTCGTGGGTTCGAACCCGACCCTGACACATGCTGCTGTATATTTGGAGTTTGCGTGTCTCTCTCTCTCTCATCATCATCATCACGGTGGCTAGGATATGTTAACTACCTCGCCTGGTACGTAGGAGATCGTGGGTTCGAACCTGACCCTGACGCCTGCTGCTGTATATTTGGAGTTTGCGTGTCTCTCTCTCGTCATCATCATCATCACGGTGGCTAGGAGATGTTAACTACCTCGCCTGGTACGTAGGAGATCGTGGGTTCGAACCTGACCCTGACGCCTGCTGCTGTATATTTGGAGTCTGCGTGTCTCTCTCTCTCATCATCATCACGGTGGCTAGGAGATGTTAACTACCTCGCCTGGTGTTCAGGAGGTCGTGGGTTCATTCACGACCCTGACGCCTGCTGCTGTATATTTAGAGTTTGCGTGTCTCTATCTCTCCCCGTGGTCGCGTGGATTTTTGTTCCAGGTCCTCCGGTTTCCCCCCTCCACATTTAGAACCAACGTCACGCGTTTAGACTGTTTAGATAATTATTATTTGGCTGCTAGGAATTTCCACGTGAGAAGCCACTTCGTTGAGCTATCAGGTGTGTCGCTTATGAAAAGTAACTACAGTAATAGCTCAGTGGGCTTTTCCTGGTAAGATAAAAAAAATAGTTTTTAGTTATTTGCTTACCTTTGCACTTCTGTCGTTGTTGTAACGTTCTGACCCTACTGGACATCTGTGAAAAAGAGCTTTGTAGCTCATCGGATTCCTCCAGGAAAGATTCGGATTCTGAACTCGGGTCGCCGGGTCCGTAGCGCAGTGCGCTGACCGCTCCACTTTACGCACGCACACGCGCACACACGCACACGCACGCACACACACGCACGCACACGCACGCACACGCACGCACACGCGCACGCACACACGCACGCTCACACACGCGCGACAAAGACAGACTGTTGGGGCAAGTGCTGTTAGCGAGTAGCACCTATGAAGGCCGACACGGCACAAGAGGGGGTGGGTGGCCAGAACCACGCCCGGCCGCCTTTGTCTCCCCAGTGGCGATATTTTCACACCGCACCAAGTACTCATTTGAGGCTGAGTTGACCTGGGGGAAAGCCCAGGACCGGTTCAAATAATCGTCACCGGTGTTGGCCGTGAGCGGGAATCGAACCCGGGTCGCCGGGTTCATAGCGAGCACGCTAACCACTACACTACCGCTCTAATACACGCACTCATGCACACACACACACGTTCATACACACTCTCTAACTCTTACACGTACACACACACACACTCTAACACACACATACACTCTCATATACAGACAAGCACGCGTACGCTGGTTAATTGGGGGAAGGGTAATTAATGCGCTTGAATTGCTCTTGTGGCAGCGAGAGCTCCGGGAAGACAAGAGACTCGCATATTATTTTAGTTGATCAATGTCCCTTAGTCCAAGCTGCCAAGACGCATTGTTAAGAAACACGGGGCATGAACAACAACAACAGCAAAAAAACCAACAACAACAACGTGGAACAACATCTGAATAGAGCGCTCAGAATCACGGACAGTCCCATGCTAAGGGCAATAGCAATACTCCATTTGCTGCTTTACATAATAAGCGTGATACACGTAGACTTGCAAACGCGTCTCACAGTGTCCGCGCATCGTTCTCGTAGAGAGAGAGAGGGGTGGGGGGGAGACTCAGGAGAGAGAGACAGAGAGAGAGGGGGGGAGA